ATATTTTTCTGCTTACTAATGTAAACAGAACATATAGACAAAATATAGATAGCACCCATTGAAATATACATATTTAATGACCTTGGTCTTTGGTTTTTCCCTCCTTCCTTTGGAAAGAGAATCGATATATGGCCATAAAACATTAAGGTTGTTATGGGACTTACTAAGGCAGCAAATTTACACAAGAAATAAGTCATCCAAGGGGCGATCACCAAACGCTAAGGCAGGAGTAAGGCCCCTCATACATACATAAAGTGCTTCAGGACTGACCCAAGAGCAATATAAGGTCATGTACTTCCCCAAACTCATCCTGCCTCTGGCCGCGACCTATCAGGTAATTGGATGGGTAAGAATATGGGTGTATCTATTGCCACACACTGTCACTTAGAGCCTGTGCAAACAGTGGTTCAGAACCATTTACTCCTTTATTTATAAACCTTTGAACTCCATTCCCTGTTCTAAGTGCTGGGAAGACAGATACTGGGCATTTAAGACCTAGTTTTGGAAGCCATGATATCATAGGGCAGTAATGGAGCAAATGAACCAATCAAATTAATGAAACTATTTGCTATGCTCTAAATGTTCACCAAAATTCATGTTTTGAAACTTGATGCTGAGGGCCATTACCAAGTAGGAATGACGCATCGAAATTTCCTTGCCAAGCGTACCCCATGCTGCTTAGAGGACATTCGATGGGACATTGCATGCATGCTTTAATAAGGTGACCTTGCTCAAGGACCAAGGCAGATCCGGGTTTAGAGCTGATCAGGTTTGAGGAAGTAACCGGCTCCTTGAGTTTAAGGCGTTGCCAGTTTAAGACAATGGGTTTTAGGGAAGTTAGAGGTTGAAGATTATTGCTGGGATTAGGGTGTTCCTGCTGCTTGTTGAGTTCTCGTGAGATTAAAATGGGATTTGGAGATAGCCTCGTGGAGTAGGTGAATTGTGCAGGAGACGGCAGAACGTGTTTGCCCCTGGTCCTGTGTGGAGGCGGTGTGAGAGCGGGAATAAAGAATTGCTGTTTGAACCTACAAAGGTGTGTGGTGGCTCGTGATTCTGGTGCCAAGCCCAGACCTTGGCACATCCCCATTGTAGTATTAAGAAGTGGAGCCTTTGGGGAAATGAATAAGTCATGAGAGCTCTTCCTTGTGAATGGATTAGTACCTTATAACAAGGTTAGAGGGAATTGGTGTAAGCCCTTTTTTTTTCCCTTTCACCATTTACCATGTGCTAACACAGCAATAAGATGCCATCATGGAAGCAGAGACCAGGCCTTAACCTACTGATCTTAATCTTGAACTTCCCAGCTTCTAGAATTGTGAGAGGTAAAACTCTTATGATTTATAAGTTACCAGTTTCAGATTTATTGTTATAACAGTGCAAACAGACTAACATAGTCTTATTTAAAACAAGCCATTAAGACATATAGGTTGCAAACTAGCACCCATGAGTCAAATCTAACTACAAATATGTTTCCTTTAGCTATATACGGATCTGTTTTAAAATCCAAATTTTAGAGGAAGTCTATGAAATCCAAACTCAAGTTCCTACGAACCCAGAACAAAAACCTTGCCCATCTATGCATGCCTGCTCCTGAGCAGACTACTTTGGACTGTTACTGTTTTTTTTACTCTGTTGAAGTAAGCAAGCAATTAATAGGTTATCAAAAGTTTAAGAGAAACAAAGAAAATTGTATTTTCTCAATTTTTACTTTAGCAGTAAGGAAATGTCATCCATGATTTGGTTCCAGCAGCGGAATACTTTTCTCTGGTTTTCAGAGAGCAGATTGAGATGTAATATCATAGAAACAGGGAGGAACATGGGAAAGCTAGAGACAGAAGAGATTAAAGCATGAGTGAGGGTTGATTCTGTGAGAGTGTGTGGGGGGTTTATTTTGAGGGCTGAGTAGTTTGCTGAGAAGGAGTAACGTGAGTAACAGAAGACTTGAGTGACGCCATTACACCTACCCTGTTCTTGCTAACTCCTACAGCAAGCAAGGAGTCGTTCTTGTTCCCAGACCTCTCCCTGCTACCTAAGGCCAAGTGGAGGAGACAGAACTGAACTGAGCAGGCAGGTCTCTGACAAGCCTATAGCTACACTATTTTAGTCAGCCTTGTCATTACTGTGACTAAAATACCTGACCAGAACAATTGAAGAGGAGGAAAAGTTTATGTGGGGGATCACAGTTTCAGAGGCCTCAGTCCATAGACAGCTGGGTCCTTTCCTCTGGGTTTGAGGTGAGGCTGAACATCATGGTGGAAGAGTATGGCAGAGGAAAGTGGCTCACAGAAGGATCAGGAAGCAGAAAGAGTGACTCCACTCACAAAATATATACCCCAAGGGCATGTTCCCAGTGACCTACCTCCTCAGCCACAATTACCACTTAGTCAATCCCATGAGGGGATTAATCCACTGACTGGGTTAAAGCTCTCATAACCCAATCATTTCTTCTCTAGACCTTCTTGCATTGTCTCACACCTGAGCTCTTGGGGTCACCTCACATCTAAACCATAACATACTCCAAGACTAACAAACCATGGGAACCCATAAAGAGGGCATACAGGAGAGTTTGTATTCAGACCTGCCCTATCAGCATCCCTCACCCCTTCCCCTCTGGAGGGAAGCACTTGCTCCAGTTTCATCCCTCCATCCCACCTACTCAGTGGTGTTCCATTTCTGTCTTCCTGTAAGCTCTGAATAAAAAAGGAGAATGACATACCCTGTAGAGGCAAGAGGCACACCACCACGTGCCTAGCTGTATTAACTCCTTTATAAAGCACCTACTATGGCATCTACTGTGAGGGGATAATTCACCAAGAAAGCAAAAGAGAGATCCCTGCCTCGTTAGTGCTTACAGTCTGGCTAAGGAGACACATGTTACTTAAAACAAGACTGTACAATGAGTTACAAGACAAAGGAGTGCAGGGCACCTGTCACACATGTAGCTGCCATGTTGGAAGAAGTCTGAAAAGGCCTCTAAGACTGTCCATTTCAGCCACCAGCTAAAAGATGTCACTACACAAGGAGCGACAGACCCAACAGGGGCTTATGGTGAGAGAGAAAGGTTGAGCCATCAACAGACTAGAGGTCCCAGAAAAGCCAAGTTCTGTCCCAGTGAAAGTGAATAAAACAACTGGTCAGGACAGGCTATTGGGATGCACAGAGGCTTTAGAGATAGGGTAATTTCAGTCTATGATAACATGCAGAATGCAGCATGACAAAAGGTGGAGGAAGGCATTAGAGATAGTATGAGAGCTGGGTGCAGTGGCACTCACCTATAATCCCAGCACTCAGGAGACAGACAAGAAGATCCCGAGTTCAAAGCCAGCCTCAGCAAAAGCAAAGCACTAAGCAACTCCAAAAGACCCTGTCTCTAAATTTAAAAAA